GAAAGTTCCTTCGAGAGGAAGGACAACTGACAACCGTCTTCTGTAGAAGGCAGCATCAGCAGAATGCCCTGCCAGTTCCTATGGCATCAGAAGCAAGATGGGCAAGCTTGCCGAGAATCTCCAGAGTTGGGTTTAGCAAAAGTTGAATAAGAGAGAACTGGATTAAGGCGACTTGAGGAGCGAGAGAGTTGGTGCCACCTCGTTTTGCCAACTCGGTTGGACCGACTGGGAGACCTGGTGACACACACACAGTCCTGCCTTCTCTGACCGAGAGTATGCTGATTTGCTAGACCTTCAGACGTTGTACCGGCATCGTCGATGAGTAGCATCATCATAAGTGCACAAAGTTACAACTTGTCGAGGTGACAAATGAAGTCAATCTCTTTGATCAATCTTCCGTTTAAGCCATGCCTTTCTCAAATCACAATTAGAATGGGGTTGTTGATTGAGCCGTTGCAATCAACGAAGTCACTTATATTTCTTGCAAATATTTATTCTTCGAGACTGTCAGCAATTCGTGAATACGCATTTTGTCATCTCAACTCTCAAGGTGACTAATTACTTTTTTCAAGAGTTACTACTTACTCCGAGCATAAGTAGCATAGTCGATTGCAACAAAAAACAAGTCACGTTTGCTCGAATCCAGTTGGGGCGACAGATGAATGAGGCTGAAGTGAAGTGGAAATTGCAGTCCAGTCCAAGTGTGCAATTCAATGTCCTTTGAGGCTGTGGGACTATTCAACTCAACCACCAATTCTTAAATCACATACCACGCCCATGAGAAAAGGTCTCACCGGATAGGGAATTGTGATCTGGTTAGGCAGACGAAGCGCCCGTAGTTGCCACTTCTGAGCCGTCGGTCGGTGAACAGCCTCGAAGTGTCTCGAGACTGGAGGGACGTCGGGCGGACCGGAGGCTGGTGAGGCCGTCTCCCGCAGGAACTGGCGGTAAACGACGCAGCAGACTTCGATCAGAGCCTCCGGAGCCTCGTAACAGGCCCAGTCTTCCGTGGACTGCGGCAAGAAGTCGACAGGGTCTTTGCTCTTTGTTCGTTCCGGCTGAAAGACAAGAGTACTATCGTAAAGGAGGCTCTTTCAAAGGACCTACAGGATCATGAAGGAGCAAACCCAAGTGGCCCCAACTTGGAAGATGTCACGTTTTGTAGGAGGCCGTAGGACCCCTCCGGCGTGTACGTTGTGTGTATGCCATAATCACAAGGCAGTTGACCATTTCGGTCTAAATCCAGCTTCGTGGTTGACCAAATCTCTTCTTTATCGCGACTTCTTCCTGCTCCCTCTCCTACTTTCACACACACACACACACACACACACACATACGCACAATCTCTCTGTCTCTCTCTTGCTAAAATTTCTACACTCGTTGCTCTCTTTCAGTATGCCCTCTTATTTCACACTTTGCTGCAAAGTCCCCAATTCCGGCAACAGGTTGGACATTAGACCACTTTGTCTGGCGACCTGTAGGAGCCACATGTCCAGCAACCTCTGATTTCTCCAAGCCTAAACCCTCTTCTGTATGCGTCTTAAGTCCTCCGCATGACAGGAACTACCGCATGAGCACAAAACCTCATAACAACCCAATCGGCAGAAGACGTCTGAGCATCCTCCAGAAGAAGACATGACCAATGGAAGTATCAGTCCTTGCTTTTATGTGCTCCTGAGGTTCCATCTCCTCAGCAAACCGGCCATTTTTATCAAAGAATGGAGGGGGGAATAATCAGGAATTTGCAGCAAGAGTTGTATTTCATCATACATAATCCCACTTTAAAACATTTCAACATTACATTATTTGCATAAAGGTTGCGTGAGCCTGTTTGCACAACCTGGCCCTATTGTCAGGCAGACCTGGAGGAACACATCTTTTTCTCCTTTTACTGTAGACTTGACAATCTACAGTCATGCATACTTTAGACTCTGGCCTATGGCCAGTTGCTGTAGGTCTTCCTGACGATACGGCCAAGTTGGGCAAACAAGGTCAGCCAACTTCTATACAACGAAAGGATAACACACCAACTTGATCTTCATACCTTGACTTTGACTATTTGATTAAAAAAAGCCCGATTTGGAAAGCACTATCCGGCACCTTTACTTGAGAGCATTTCCTAAAGGCGTACTTGATGGCGTAGCGTTTCAATAGGCATAAGAAATGTAAGTAGTTTTCAGTTAGAATTAAGCCGTTCAAGGATAGTCAGAAAGCATCTACAGAAGAGAAAATTAAGATAAATCACAAGGCCCCAAAACACAATTGGACGTTAATATTGAGAAGATACAAATTATCCTCCAACCAAATGATTGGATGCCTCTTTCAACGTTGGGTCTATGTAAAATTGGCGGGATTTCAGCCAGCCAATTTATTGGTTTCGCATTTAAGTAATGTCTCGAGACTACCAGTAAATCAGTAGTATGAGATGCATTCACCCAATTTCGTGTAAGGTGATTAAGGACTGGTAGAAGAATTTTCCCAAAACCAAATTGTGTGAATACATCTCATATTACTTTTAGTTTGTATAAAAATACATTAAGTCTCACTAGACTGCAACTGTTGAAAATATGAAGATCAAGATTTTGTAGCCTCTGGTATGGTCGCAGTCCCCTTTCAATTTACAGAAGTGGGTTGACCTCGTTGTCGCAACTTGGTCTTGTTGTCAGGGCGACTTGGTAGAACGCATCTGCCATTGTAATTGTCATGATTCCCAGCATCAGACAGTCGACTTGGTACATTCTCAGACTTTCTGTCGGCATCAGTCAGTTTTGCCATTCTTCGCTCCAAGTTACGAGCTCGTCAAAGAGACAAGTGAAACCAATCCCTCGACAAATGTTCTGTCGAAAACGGTTACAACATCACTCGTCTTTCTGGCATTGTCTATCTATCTACTTTTTACCCTCTTATCCCATTGCCACGCTATTACAACTTGTCACTTGTTCACATTCCAATCATCAAAATGTGTCCACACTAGCATTGTCACAAAAGGGCACACATTTTGATGATTGGAATGTGAACAAGTGACAAGTTGTAATAGCGTGGCAATGGGATAAGAGGGTAAAAAGTAGATAGATAGACAATGCCAGAAAGACGAGTGATGTTGTAACCGTTTTCGACAGAACATTTGTCGAGGGATTGGTTTCACTTGTCTCTTTGACGAGCTCGTAACTTGGAGCGAAGAATGGCAAAACTGACTGATGCCGACAGAAAGTCTGAGAATGTACCAAGTCGACTGTCTGATGCTGGGAATCATGACAATTACAATGGCAGATGCGTTCTACCAAGTCGCCCTGACAACAAGACCAAGTTGCGACAACGAGGTCAACCCATTTTTAGAATCTTTTGTGATGATGTCTGCCACGCCGGGACAGACGACAGCGACCAACGTACAAATCCCGTCCACTCGCCTCCCCAAAATGAAGTGAAGAGAGACCAGCAGCAATCATTCCATCTCTCTCTACATCAAAATATTTCAGTTTTTAGCTTGTAGCATGCAGTTGAAGAGTCTTCCTGACATGATGTTAACATGAAGAGTATGCCATGATCAGTCTCAGCTCTGACAATTCCCGTCAAGTGATACGATCAGACAGACTGAACCCTCTTTCACGCGAAACGCGGGCACATCTCTCGTAGACTTGGTCATTTTGAGCGTCGTAGTAGAACAACCGGAATCAGACATAAACCTCCGTTTTCGCATCAATCAGCGAAATGAAAGTCTCCACAACAATTTATAGTTTTTGGCTGTAACGACCCGTTTTTTTCGTGAATACTCTGGCTTACTACTTGCTCACAGAAGCGGTCTCACGAAGCAGATTCGGCCCAATCGGACAGTCCATTCGGAGACGTCCCGAAGACCGGTCGACTGGTTGAATCGAGTGACAATGTGCAGCCGAACAGCCGAACAGCCGAAAAGCTGCAAAGCGGGACCTGCTGGATGGCTGTCCAAAGGGCTTGTGTGGTACCGGAAGAACCGAGTTTATGGCAGTTCGTAGGGGCGAAAGGAAGAAGAGAAGAGACAAGTTCCATCCACTAACCTTTGACATCGGAAGATCCGTCGCCTTGGCGACAGCTTCGTTCGTCCGGCCCTTGGTCGAATGTTGTCTGCCGCCTTTGGCGTGCGAGTCCGGCTTCGTCGACCTGTCAGTCGCCAGCTTGTTGGCCTCTTTGACGGCGTCCGAGGCCACGGAAAGCATGAGCTGAGCACGAAAGAAGAGAGCATGGCATTTAGAATTGGGCTGTGTGGGTTGTGTGGAAAAAACACATGACGGACAAAGTGAGATACGACTGATTGGTTGCGGGTAGAAGAGTCGAACATGGCGAATGTACATCAAATACATGCTGCGCCGAAAGGAAAGATAGTCGAATTTCCGCTGATTAGGTCTCAGGTCTTCACAAAAGCTATTCTCATCCCGGCCGGACTCGACTCGTTTACAATTTCCACCTC